GGGAATAAAGTACGGGGCGTCTCTTTGCGACACCAACCCTCAGCACGCAGTCGTTGCCTTCCCTCCTGCTCTGGCCATCGAGCAATGTTGGTGCTCGCCATTTCTTGGACACACGAAGCGTGTGATTGGACCCGAACCCTCGCCAAGCGCCGACGCAGCCCTACTACAGGGCACTGTAGCCCTACTGTCCCATACATGATCAGAGTGTGTGATCAAACAATGGCGGACAGGCGATGACACGCACTTTTGAAAAGGGAAGCATCTGTGGTGTGTAGGACGGAAAGCGCTGCGTAGTGCAAGTTTGCTATTTTTCGCTCGTTTGTGCTCGGATGGCCGTAGATCTATTTCTTCGCAAGCCTTCTCAATAATTTTTTTTAACGGTGCCGACACAGGTGTAACACCGTAATTACAACTAACATCTCTTTCCGGTGAAATTAAAGGGGCAGTATGGGAAAAGCTGGTTGCCCGTGCTTTTAGTTTTTGCTTTTGCACTCTCAGATTGCCATCGTGGATCATGCTACTGCTGTTAATCATAAAAGTATTTTTTTATTTTTTACTTAAAGTGTAGGAACGACCATAGAGTTATTATGATATACCCTAGAGGTTCATCTGGCGCTAGTCTCTATGCGGCTTCCGTGACGCAAATTGAAGCAGACAGCAACCAGTATAATTTTGCGGTGCTCCTGTGCATTCCTATGGGAAAACGCCCGTGCATTTTGTCTCTTCGACGGAAAATAACACTGAACACTTTGGTTATTTGGGTCGTACCGAATAGTATGTACCTTGATTAACACTGTAAACGTGCAATTGCTTTAGTTAGAGCATTTTTCTTAGTCAGTAAACGATGTTTAACTTCGCTACATTTCAGTCCCAAACGTGTGTTCCGCAGCAGGTGTGTAAAAACAAGCGACCATTCAAAGCAAAATTACAATCGAAAGGAATATAGGTGTGTTCAAGGCTCACCAGAATTCCGGTGACGCTTATATATTGATAAAATGCCAGTCCTGTCGCTATATGAAAATGACCCCGTCGTGCATGAGCGGATAAAAAACATTCAAAACCTAGAAAATAAAGTCTGTGGGCTATGAAAGGTGTCTCTTCGTATTGTTTTCTCTGCCGGACAGCTTTTGTCGGCACTTGTTCTAAAAGATTTCCAGCGTGCGGGTGATCTTTTGAACGTAGAACGAACATCTTCACTCAGAGCAGAAAGAATAAAGCGGTACTTATTTAAAATTGGAATAGATTACGTGGCCTTCAATTTATTTTGATCGTACATGCACGGGTAGTTACTGATCCAGTGTTACTGCGTAGTTCTTGCCGTCTCCCATAATTTCCAGATGTTCTTCGTTCGTTTGGCACGTATATCCCTCATGCTGAAAAACGCCAACGTCGAGTTCGCGCTAACAGTGTGCGACAGTGCACATAAATTAATACACGTACGAAGCCGTTTTAGCACCGTTTTTAATGCGACGAATTTGAAAGAAAAACAACGTAACTGACCAATTATTTCGTCGGCCTGAGTGAGAAATGTTCCAAGCTGCTTAGTACGTACGAATTATTCGGGATATTTGCTCTTATGATCGAGCGCAGGGGAAAAATGCACTCACCTTTTCCCATAGAAATGCTTTACCGGAAGACAATTTTTGACTGGTTGCTGTCTGCTTTGATTTGCGTCAGCACACTAGCGCCACTTGAACCTCTAGCGTACATTATAGGTAGGGTGTGTACTTTCCGGTGTTTATTTGCGAGAAAAATCGGCGGATGTTTTTCGGTGTTTATTTATTTTCAAAACGCCGGTGTATTTCGGTGGAACGTCTCACGACTAGGCTAAAATCGGTGATTATCGGTGGAAAAAAAAATGTGATTGATCACAGACAGAGAGTCCCAATTTTATTCACATATTTCACACACTTCGTGTCTAGGAAGCATCTATTTCTCACACTGGGTTATTATAGTATATGCAAGCATACTTCGAGAGGCTTGCATCCGTCATGGCAGCACGTTCCTTGCGGTTCACAACCCGCAATTATGAAAACGAACGCTCTTGTACGACACGGACGTTGGCAGTGTCTTCCAGGAACCACAGCAACCTCTGAATACATGGCTTGCACCGACATCACTTGGCCAGACACAATGGAGAAAGGGCACGTGAGAACCTACCCTCCACTGCGTTAATTTTTCCAGAAAAGGGGGCCATGGGAGACGCAATAGGGGAAAGGCGTGTGAGAGCTTAGCTTCCACTGCGTTCGCTAGACGCTTTTGACCCCCAGAAAGGAGGGCGGACTGATGCCACGTGCAAGCCATGTATAAACACTGGACGAATGCAGGATCCACGAGATGACATGTTTGACGAACCTCTATGGGGAAAGGGTTTCGCTAGGTCGGAAACATGCAACGACCGGTGTTTTCCGGTTTTAACCAAGGCGAAAATATTAAACCACCGGTGTTTTTCGGTTTTAACCGATTTGATATTTTTGTCACCGACGGATGTTTATCGGTGTTTTTCGGTTAAAACCGGAAAATACACACCCTAATTATAGGCAGCCGGCAACGGCCAGGCGGCGCCAGCAGGGTGAGAGCGCACGGTTACACCCTATCTCGTTGCAACTTGGAAAACGGCGAACGATAAGCCCCAAATTGCGTGCCGAAGGCTTCGAAATGCGCCACGTATACGAGCCCAGCGCACACATATTGGAGCATGACGCAGCGAAAAGCCTGATACTTCTTCGGAGTTGAGGCGCGCTCCGGTGATACGCAGTCACGTTCCGATTGGCCCGCCATGGCCGTAGCTTCAGCTCTACTGGCACGTTACGCGATCACGGCTTCCTGGGATACCCAGTATTTCTTGATTTAGACGCTAGGCTAAGCGGCGCCACCAGAGTAATAGCTCAAATATGAACAATGCAGCCGCCCCTCCCAAGGGTACCCAATATTTCTTGCTCCAGTCGCTAGATGGTGCCAAACCAAACAGCATTGCAGGTTGCCTATAATAACTCTATGGGAACGACAGCTTACGGGTGGACATTGATCGAGCTCTGCTGCATCGAGTTAAATTTTTAGCGAGACCACAAAAAAATGTCGTCGATAACGAATACGTTATGTGCAATTTCGTAAGTCGAGACGGGTCTGAAGCACAATATTTTAGAACGACGCCCGTATTCTTCTATTTTTTTTTTCTTTTTGGTCCTTATTGTATTGCTTTTGAGATTTCCGCTTCCCCACAGGAAAGATCGTAAACTAGCGAACGGGGTATTGCTTAGCATCTTCCTATTCTTTGGTTTTGTTTTCTTATTTTTAGCTGTTGGTTTTCCTCCTGCGGTAGTAGAAATTGCGCAAGAGCTCCATCCTGACAGTTTATTAGCATGTCTCGCAGGCAATAATAAGCTTAGGTGAATTACGATGACAAGAAAACACAACCTGATTGCATTATTTATAATTTTTTTTTCTAACTCGAGAACGAGAATTTGTTGCGCCGGTGAATTGCGAGGACATCGTCGGTTCCGGTCTTCACGGTGATCAAAGTAGGGAGAAACACTCGGAAATGCATAAGCGGATTGTGCAACGGGGCACACTCAAAACACCAATAATTTGTCATTTTTAATAGGTAGCCAATGAAAAGTGTGCTCGGTGTAGTGCTCTAATGATGACCTTTTGTTTTTATCTCACTGAGATGTCATAAGTAATTGGGCACAGCACAGTTTCTTATTTTGGTAGTCTTTCTTAGGCAAAAATATCACGCGATCTTTAGTTTTCCAGCAAATTAATTTTGTAATCTTTAATTAAGAAACTTAAACTGCACCCTCAAACACTTTTGAAGGATGCGTCAATATAACCTTTGTAATTACATCGATCGTTAGCGTTCACTACCACATATGAATTTAGGAAACACATATTTAGCTCTCCAGGAATAATAGACCCCTTTCGAAAGTTGCATGCCAATCATTAGAGGGTCGGAACCACCGCACAATGGCGGAAAAACTGACTGACATTCCAAAAGATAGCGAGCGGATCGGAGCGCGGCCAACGCTAGGTGCCAACGATTCGATCAAACTGCGTCGAAAGTGCAACGTCACTGCGCCCATCACCTTTCTTTGTGGGTGTGTTTTGTATTGGAGTTCAACCAAACGTATAAAGTGTGCCGTGACGTTGTGGTTTTCGTCCGCCATTGTGCAGGGATTCCACAGCTGCCAACAGAGGGCAGTCTTTTTAAAGTTGTCCCTTGCCCTATCAAAATAGGTTGGATTTTCAGTTTGATGCTGTGCCCAAATAATAGAATCTTGCCCGACAACGCATGCGTGTGAAAACACTTCGCGCTTCTGGGTTTGCTACCTTTATTGGAATTCCGTAAGGACATTTTGGCGCATGAAATAGAAAAATATACTTTTTTGCCTGCCTTTCACTTAAAGCTTTTTGACATGTCTTTTTTGTGTTACGTAACCAAGTCTTGTCCGTTTTCAACAACTGAATTTCTTAATTTTAATAACCCGCGAAACCGCTTCTCGTGTTCAGTGTAAGCCTGAGCATGTGTCCAAAAATGAACCACTTAAATAGTTTGCAGTCTAAAGGAGACGGTTGCACACGTTAATGGCACGTCATATGTCGGGATAGCAAGGTTTTCGGCAGCCATCGCTTACGGCTCCGGTCTTGTGGGCTACCGTCTGGACTGTTCTGAGAGATGCCGTGTACGCGTACCAGTTTCGTCAATTGGACGACGGGAGAAAACCTAGCTTGCGGCCATTTACATATATAGGGCCGTCCCGTACTCCTCAATGTGTAGGACAGGAGGAGGAATAAACTTTATTATAACTTGAGCAGACGAAAGCTTGTGGGTCGTCCCCAGGTGGGTGGCTGCCTCAGTCCAGGATGCCATGGTCCCGCGCTGCCAGTCTGGCCCTGTTCACCAGTCGGGACTGGTCCTCAGGTTTTGAGCTGGTCAGCTGGTCCTCCCACTGCTCCGCGGTTGGTCGGGAAATGGGGGGTAGGGAGGTGTTGTGCTTGCACTCCCATACCATATGGTAGAGAGTGTTAGGCACTCGACAGTTTTTACAGTCGTAGTCATATTGAGTTGGGTACATTGCGTGAAATAATGTGCCGTGCGGGAAAGTGTTAGTTTGTAGCTGTCTAAGTGTCACGGCGTCCTCTCTGGATATTGTAGGGTGTGGGGGAGGGTAGGTTCTCCTCCCTAGTCTGTAATGCGCTAGAATGTCGGTGTATCTTTTTGGAACGCCCTCGTCTGTATCCGCTGGAGCACGGTCGCCCAGCGAGGTAGCCCGGAGAGAGTGTTCTCGGGCAGCGGCATGCGCCGCTAGATTACCCGCTAGGGTTTCATGTCCTGGGGTCCAGACTATGACTATTTCGGGGGGATCTTTGATTTTGTTTAACGTTTCGAGGGTCAATCGTGATATTCGGCCTAGTTGGTAATTTCTGCAGGCGGCTTGTGAGTCTGTTATTACCGTGAGGAGTTCCTTGCCTGTCGTCGCCGCAAGAGCGATTGCTGTCTCCTCTGCTGAGTCCATGTCTGGGGTCCTCACGGAGGCCGCCGCGATTTCTTCTCCCTTGTTGTTTACCACGCTAATCGCGTGTGCTTTCTTTCCCTTGTATTTCGCTGCGTCTGTGTACCGCACGCGGTCATCGTCTCTCTCGTAGGTCTTTCTCAGTGCTCTCACTCTTGCCATTCGTCGTTCTTTGTTGTGTTCTGGATGCATGTTGCGAGGAATGGATGCAACTGTGATATTGTCTCTTAGTTGTAATGGAATCCTTTGCTTACTTCTTGACTCGTCTTCGATTGCGTAGCCCAGTCTTCTTAAGGTGTCCCTGCCCGTCCTGGTGAGCTTAAGTCTTTCAACCTGGCTCACCTTGTGTGCTTCTGCCAGCTCTTCCCATGTGTTATGTATACCCAATCGGAGTAGTTTCTCTGTGGAGGTTGTTGGGGAAAGCCCCAAGGCCAGTTTGTATGTCTTGCGAATCAGTGTGTTAATCTTCTCGCGCTCGCTGTTTTTGAGCCCCAGATACGGGGTCCCGTACGTTATTCTGCTGATGACGAGTGCTTGAATGATTCTCAAAGTGTCTTGCTCCTTGAGGCCGTGGTTTCTGTTTGTTACCCGTTTTACTAGGTGCGTAACTTGTGTGACTGTTTCTTGGAGTTTTTGCACTGTGGCGATCCCTGCACCATCCTTCTGAAATACTACTCCCAGGACACGGAGCACGTCGACTTGTGGGATGTTATCTTCATGTAAAGTTAGTACGGGGTCTGGTGTTTCCGGTGGAGGACGACCTCTCGCCCTCTTTTTTAGCACCAAAAGTTGCGATTTATCCGGAGCGCACGAGAGACCACCATCTTTCAAATATCTCTCGGTCCTGTTCACCGCTTCTTGCAGAGCGTCTTGCTGCATTCCTGCCGACCCCGACGTCGTCCATATGGTAAGGTCGTCCGCGTAGATTGCATGGCTGAGACCTTTAATGTCTTTTAGAAGGAGCGGTAGACCCCTCATTGCAATATTGAAAAGCAACGGCGAGATCACCGATCCCTAAGGGGTTCCCTTTTGTGGAGCCTTGATCTGTTCGGTCCTTAGGTTTCCCAGGCCTATGGTCGCTGTCCGGTCTGTGAGAAAGTCACGGACGAAATTGTAAGTCTTTTGGCCGCAGTTTGTCCTTTGTAAGCTGTCTAGCACCGCACTGTGGGAGATGTTGTCAAACGCCCCTTTGACGTCCAATGGTAGAATTGCGCTCTTGTGCTGCGTGCTGAGGTTGTCTATTACATCCTCTTTGAGTTGAAGAAGGATGTCTTGGGTCGATAGGAGAGGTCTGAATCCAAACATCGTGTTAGGGAGGAATTCGTTCTCCTCGAGATACGGGGATAGTCTGTTGTGTACCATGTGCTCGAATAGCTTTCCCACACACGATGTAAGGGATATTGGTCTCAGGTTCTGCACAGTGATCGGTTTGCCCGGTTTTGGGATCATTGTCACATCCTCGTGTTTCCAGCATGCCGGTATCTTCCCGGTCTCCCAGCTCTCATTGATGTGCTTAAGGAGACACTCCGTGGCTCTGTCGTCCAGGTTACGGAGCGTCTTGTTGTTAACTCTGTCCCTTCCTGGGGTCGTGTTTCTCGTCAAGTTCCTGAGCGCCGCCACTATCTCTGCCCTGCTGAAGGGTTGATCCAAATCTGGGTTGGATTTTCCCTCGTAGTCCAGGTGAGTGATCGTCGTCGTCTGTTGTTGTTGGTTGCCAATGTATTTTTCAGTGATGGCTTCGAGCACGTCTTCCTCTGAACCCTGATAGTTGTGGATGAGGCGTTGAATATGTTGGCACGTGACCTTCTTTGACTCGGTCTTTGCCAGCAGCGACCTAAGTATTGCCCATGTTTTGCGATTGCTCAGGGTACCCTGTAGCCGGTCGCATAGCTGATTCCAGTTTTGTATTCCGAGTTTCTCTGCGTACTCCTCAGCTTCCCTGGTCAACAGGGCAATGCGGACCTTGAGCTTGCGGTTTCTCTTTTGTTTCTTCCATCTTTTTAGGAGGCCCTGTCGGGCCTCCCAGAGGTGGAGTAAGTGCGGGTCAACTTCGGGGTTGTCCGAAGTGAGTTGTATCGTCTTGGTGTGCTTGGTTACCTCTTCCATCACTTGCCTGGTCCATTCTTCAATATCGTCCATGTCCGCTCGGTGTTCCACCTTTCGGAACGCGGTCCAGTCCGTGATCTTCGCTTGTCCCGTTCTCAATGGAGTCTTGTTGTGTCGGAGTTCGGTTTGAACTATATAGTGATCGCTTCCTAGGGTTTCTTCCAGCCTTGTCCATTCGATTTGCCGTATGCCCTTCGAGAAAGTTAAGTCGGGGCTTGTGTCCCTGGAGATGCTGTTTCCAATCCTGGTTGGACACTGAGGGTCGTTCCACAGTGTCAGTTGGTGGTGCTGAGCCGCGTTGTGCACATCCGTGCCCTTCTTGTTGGTTTTGTGGTATCCCCACGCTACATGCGGTGCGTTGAAGTCCCCAACTACGAGTATCTTCTGCCCTTTGGTAACTTTCTTTACCTCCCTCAGGAACTTGTCCAAGTCCCTTAGGTTGTCCGAGGGCGGGCTGTAAACATTCAGGATAAATAGACTCTGTAATGTCCTCTTTTGTGGTATCATCTCTATCAAAGTGTGCTCAATTCTGTGGCTGATTTGGTGTTGTTGTGTTGTGTGGTGTTTCTTGGTGAGGATGGCTGTCCGGTTTCTTCCTTCGGCTATGTGTGTCTCGTAGCCCCGTATCTTTATGGTGTCTGTTTCTGTTTCTTGTAGCGCGATGATATCCGGTTGATGAAGGCTGATAAATTGTAGTAGATTTTGTCTTTTCCGGTTAATCGATCGGCAATTCCACTGCCAGATTTTGAGGATTTGGGCCGCGTCTTTCTTTCCCGTCTCTTTACTCTCCATTGTGGGTTCTGATCGTTTCTTCTGTCAGCGCATCCCCTCCTGGCGACGTTTTCGGCTTCTTTCGGGCTTGTTCCCTTTCCTTCTCAAGGTCGGAAATACGTTGGTTGAGCTCATCACCCATCTTGCCCATCTGGGCATTGAGGGCCTCCCCCATTCGATCAATCTTGGCGTTGAGGGTCGTACTCATTTGGATGATGGTTGGATTAACGTTTTCAAAGACCTTGTTCACGGTTTCCATCATTTTGCTCATTTTATGTTCAACTGCTTTTGTCATCTGGCTCATTGTCTGATCAATCTTCTGATCGATCCTCTCATCTAATTTGTTCATGTGATATTCCATTTTTTGTTCGAGGTCCTCCGGCAGAGGTGTCGGAGCTCGCGGCGGTATTTGCGGCAGTTGTTGCTGCTGTTTCTGCATCTGCTCTATAAACTGTTGCAGTTTCTGCTCTAGGGCCTGTTCCCTAGCCTTCGCTTTTTTTTCGTTGTTTTCTAAGCGCCAGATAAGCTCCGCGTTCTGTTTCTTAAGTGTGTCTATGGTCTGCTCGAAATGTGCGTTACTTGAATCCTGCTGCGTGACCGGCAGTGGGGGAAATGGGTCTGGAGCATTGGGAGAGAGGGACCCCAGCTGGGGCCAGCTCACCACTCTGTCCTGCGGCAATGACGTCCGTTGCTGCTGCTCGAAAGGGCGGTCGTTTGCACCTCCCGTCCAAGCCGCTTGTTTACTTTGCGATTTGCTTCTTTCCCTTACGTGTAACGGTGGGGGACTTGGTTTGAGTCGTTTCTGGCATTCCTTGCTTGCCGTTTCGTGGGGTTGGTAGCACAGCTTGCACTTAGGCTGACACTCGTGATTGTCTTGGGGATTTTCCGCTCCGCATCGGTTGCACCTGTTTGTGTCCGGGTTGGGGCAGACGTCCTGTCTGTGGCCGACATTCCCGCAGGCTCTGCAGTACTGCACGGATCTGCGGTGGGGCCGGCATCGGGTGAACACGCTACCCGCTTTCACGTAGAATGGCACGTGCGGTCACTCAAACGTGAGTAGCGCCGAGCTGGATTTTCCGAGCATTCTTGCGTGCAGAATGCTGTAGCCGTTGACTGAGATAAGTTCTTTAAGTTCCTCTTCTGTTGTTCCTGCTTCTATTCCGTGCACCACTCCTCGTACGGTGCCCGGGAGCGGTTTTAGGTAAGGCATGAGTTCGTACAAGGCCGCGCCTAGCTGTATCTGGGTGATCATGCTCAGCTTCATGGCGTAGTCCTCGTCCGCAGTACTTGCGATGATCAAGTTCTGAGCCCATTGCGTCTGGATCGTCACATTCGAGTAGAAGTCTTTGAATGGAAAACCGCCTGCTGTGGCGATGCCTTGCGTGAGGCTTTTATCAGACCACGAAGAAAGCTTGAGGCCCGTTCTTGGTCTGTACACTACCTTGTATTCATCCTCTGGTAATGGTGGCAACATGCGTTTCCTTTGTGGCGTGTTGTTGCCTCCGCGGGTTCTTCCGTCCCCGCGTCGCTGTTGCTGCAGTTGGTTGTTGGTCGGTTGCATCTTTGGGTTGGTCAGCCCACTCGTCTCTTCTTTTAGATTCTGGGCGCTGTTCGCCTTGCTGTTTCCTTTTATGCAGTTCTCATCCGCTGTTTTCTGGCTTTTTCTTTCTTTGAGAACTTCGTACCACGGGCCAGGCTGGCTCAGCGTCCTGCCGCTGTTTTCATCGAACTCCATGTGCGTGCCGCTCGTTCTGGTACTCGCGCTGTTCTCCATGTCTATCTCCTTGTTCATTCCCTGCTTTGTTACTTGCGTATGTATCATGCTTGCGGGGCCCGAAGGCCCGCGCGCAAAGCGGGTTTCGGCGTTGGGTCTCGCTTATTTCTTTCTCTCGGCGGCTGCCCCGTGTTCGAGTATAGCCAAGATGGCGACCGCTTGTATTCCTGGAGTGCTATGTTGCGCTTTTTGCACTCCCAGGAGACTTGGAAGAGGGAAGTGACGTCAACGACACAGCAAATGCAGATTGGATGTTGACAGAAGAAAACGAAATCAACACCCAATCTGCGTTTGCTGTGTCGTTGACGTCACTTCCCTCTCCCTAGTCTCCTGGGAGTGCAAAAAGCGCAACATAGCCCCCCTGGTGAGGCTTAGCTCTCCGCATACGAGGTAGATCTTTCTAAGGTGGAAATTTGGCCGAAACATTCACTCACTTGTACAGCTGTGGTATCTCTCGGTGCCGCTTTTCTTGGTGAATTGAATGACACTGAAGATTATAAGGATATTTTGGTACTTTCGCGCTAACTTCCTAAAAAGGGCAGGAGCCCATGTGGAGCAATTCTGCTTCGCTCGGCCCCCTGGTGCCTTTTTCTGTAGGATAGAAAAAAAAAAAAAAAAAAAAAAAAGACATGTGTGTGTCTCCTGCCGATGCATTCAGCCATTATTTGCCTAATACTAAAGTACCACCGTCAGCGAATAAGGAAAGCGTGTTTTGAACAGAAATGTAGTGGTTCATAGCAAGATATAACGGTATCTTATTACTTAAAAATTTAAAAACTCCCGTCACACTGTGATAAAGTGACGCCATTGCCAGTGTGGTAGACCGATCCTCTTGGCGCAATTTTAGCTTTCCCTCCGTGCAAGATTAGTCTTTCGCTGTTGCCCTTCCTCAGCCTTACCTTGAAATTTTCTAGAGACCATTAATCTAGTATTTTTTTGTTTTCTTTTAAAGGCACGTTAAAATAACGTACCGAAGCCCGTAATTACGAAAAAAAAAATTTTTCTCACTGCACGTGTTCTGTACCGAAACCGTTTGTAGTCTCTGGGGGTCCTCTTTCCAAAAAGACTGTGGGTATTCAAAAAACCTAAAATACATTTGTGTTTCTCTTTTCGTGCCAGAAGTTGAGAGTGGATTCATGCCAAGACTAGCTGCAATCGATACGAGAACCAATGATCGATTGGCGGCCAAGGCGGCTGCTGAGACAGTTGCGTCCGGCGTCCTCATCATCCTCGCCACATTTACATTAATGAATGGCATTGTAATCCAACTGAAGGTGCATTCCACAACCTGTTTTTAAAACCCTCGCGGCAAACATAAGCTTCTTGGCGCGCACAATGGGAGAACGGTCATGTCAAAGTCATTACTCGGCAGAAGCGCACGCGACTGCTTCCGTTGTATGCTCATATTAAAATTTAAAAAAAAAAGAAAATGTGCAATTTTATTCAGTCGTATAATAAAATATGTTTATGTGCTGGGATCCCCAAGGAAAGTGTGAAGGAACGCCACGGTAGCCGTTACAAGATGTGTGATACGTAGTTCAGAGGACTCATTCTGTAGAAAAGAAGGCATGGCCGAAATGAAATAGTAACTGTTTGAGAAAAAAAAATAATCATGAAGTCCCTGTTCAAACGTAGAACGCCGGACTCTGGAGAAAAACACATTCTGTGTATACGCCGACTTTATCAGTAAAATTAAGATAATTTCTCAAGTTGAAGCAATTCACACACGCGCAGTAAAAGCTGTAGCGTCATCTTAGTAGCGCCGAAAATTCAAGACTTTGTTTGTTTGTTTTTGGTTGAAGGGGAGAAACGTTCTTCTAAAACTCTTTCGCATAATTTCAGTGGATGTTGGTGTTGAAATGGTGTGCGCTATTCAAAAACACTCTGATACCTGATCAAATTCGAAAGCGAAGAAATACCTAAAGTGCGTGTTTTGCACGAAATCCCCCAGGAACTTTGCCTTACCACAAAGAGTGACCCTGACATATTTGTGCTCGGCGAAATTCGGGGAACTGGTAAGGAATCCCAGACAAAAGCTTAACGGACAAAAGCTCACCCATTTTTTTCACAGGCCCGGACGAAAGCTCACAAGGGAAAAATTTCCTGTTGGTTTTAACACGAGTGCGAACAACTTAGGTGCATGCGTGAGACACTAAAAGGCAACAATAAATTAAATCTGACAGGCGCATGGTTTGTTGATTTTAATAGAAACAAGTTTATTTATTGATTGGTTGGGAGCGAATGCAGTTCCCTACTAGCTCCAGCAGTCCTGGTAGATCTCGATTTACCTGGAATTCCTCGCAAATATTTTTTGAGACGATTCTGCAGGCGCAGAGTGGTTTTTCGCACCCGCTTTAGTGTGAGCTGACCTCTCCGGGCTTGTGTCAATGCCGTGGCAACGAGTGCCAGAATTTGCTGCAGGCATTCAATCAGCCTCGAGACGCTCGGATGGACGTGGCGGACGAGCTTCTGGAACCCAGTATTCCAACCTTCGCAGGTGTTGTTCGTCCGGTCTTTATCTTGAAGAGTGGCGTCGTACATATTCCACCAATCCGGGGGAAACTCCGGTCGTCGTCGGCGCACAGTCAGGCGAAGGGTAGAATTCGCTCTGGGTGCCGCCGGAGAAGGAACAGAAGCATGGCGGAAGCGGCCGTTAACATACGTGTAATCAAAATAGTCCAGCAGGTAGCCGATGTCACCGGTAGACGTTTCCCTGATGGTCAGTCCATGTGGAACAAGCTGTGGTGGAAGGAACGTGAGCCTATCCAAAATACCGCACAGTTTTCTAAATTGATCATCTGCCTTGTACTTTTCCAAAAGGCCCAACTCCCGTTCCGTCAAAATATTTTTAAGAATTCGCAACTCATTGGTTTGTATAACAGTTTTACTTCAGTTTCCCTTTCAAATCACCTTGATTAAACCTTCATTTCAGATACATTTACTACGCACAATGACGGAAACAATTTAATTTTCTTAGCCATTCACTTCAAATATTACCATAAACCCCAAGAAAACCCATTAATTCGTAATAAAGAGACATTGAGCCTATCCTTTAGGGCGCATTTAGCGTGACATACGCGCAAAGAAAAAGCGATGTCACCGATGGGTAACTTCGCTTCTTCGGTCACTCTTCAGGTTCAGAAAATTCGCTTCACGAAGTTTTTTGGGCGTGGCACAAGGGTGCTGCGGCATACCTTGAGTCAAGCAAGCTTGATCTTATTAGGGTGCCTTCATAAGCGCACATGAAGGCTCCCTAGATCTTATCAGCTCCACTCAATTTCGGTAACCTAAATTTTGGTCCCAGATCGTTGCTTCTCTGCCTGCTATTGCTTATCTGTTGACACCTTTGCATGGGATAGGTACGAGTTCTCATAAAAACGGTCCAATGTCCATCGCGTCCGCACTTTATTTCAGCCCGTTTTTCGGCCGAATAGCAAAAAAAAAAAAAAAGGATGAGCTTTTGTCCGGTGAGATTCTGTCCGGTGAGCTTTTGTCCGGTTACCACTGGTAAGCGCCCCACGCGAAAACCATCCACCATAATTGAGGCAACATATATAAAATAACAACATTTCAAAGTTTTTTTGTTTTTTTTTTAGCAAATATTTTGCTTGTTTATTTTTTTTTTTTTTCGCACACTTCAAAGTCGCCGTTTTTTCCCCATGAATACTGATAAGAAGATCCCATCACTTTCAACAATCACGCATAAAAACAAGAAGCCGTACAGCTTGCGCGAGAAATGAGAGAATGCTTTGCCCTTCACCTTGACCATCGAAAGTATTCTACACGTGGCGACAGGCGTTGTTGCTTGCGCATGTAATGTCGGTGGAATGTGTCAAGGGGGAGTCTGCAACGGCGTCACGGCAGGTTTCCGCCGTGTGACGAAATGAGCGAGTGAATGGAGAATTGTAGTAGACCGTTTCCGCAGCCCGCTAAGCACCCGGTTAGCGCTCCGTAATCCGCCACAAGACCTTGAACCATGCAGATAAGGCTGGCGGCGCGCATGCGCAGCTGCGGCGTTTTCTTCAGGGATACCGTAGCGGAGGAGAAAAACGGTTTACTACCATTCCTTATTGTTTCAGCCGTGCGACGCGCGACGTGCTTCCTTGAGCAACTTCCACGAACTTCATTGTCCATGACGCTGAAAAGTCGTTGTTGCGTACTTGACACGCGTGGCTTTCGCACAAATAATATAAAGGGGAAGAAAGATGCGTGGAGTTCTTTACCCTTGTGCGTATGCCTTTATTGTTAAGGAAACGTTGAAAGAAACCGTGAGGACGTGAGACAAGTCAGGAACTGCTCATTTTCTTTAGCCGTACTTCAAGAAATACCAGCTAAGGTATATTTCGTCAAAGAATGTACTGAACGATGGTTCAGTAAAACCATGCTCATGTGTCTATGAATGTTTTGGTAAAAAATGTATTAAAGTCTCGGAACTTAAAAGAAGAAAAGAACACTGACAGTTTATATGCGTCTACCAAATGCCTTGCGGACGCACAATAGAGCCCTTTCGAAAGTCACGTGCCGATTATTAAAAGGTCGGAACCACTGCACAATGGCAGAACAACCGCATCCCATAGTCATACATGCTCGTTCGTGTTTGCGTTGTCATCCCCTCTTTGATGACACCAAAATCCTGGGGGGACATGACAGCAGATTTGGCAGGGAAATCATAGAATCATTCGCGATGACCACAGCAAAAAACAACGTGTCTAACCCTTCCCTCCTGCTGACGAAAACTGAGGTTGAATTTTTAAAATCCGAGATAACCCTACCACCGTGACTTGCACTTCGCGTTTCTTTTCTTTCCTTTCGTTCTCTCCCCCTTTTTTCTCCTACTCCTACTGGGTATAGTCGGCTGCTCGCTGTTTGAAAGTTTACTCGTCTGTTGCTAGTTGAAAGATCTGGTTGTGTTGTCCCTGTTTTAATTGTTTTATTCTTTCTTCATCCATGATTAAACCTTATTTTTATGACTGTCGCGTCTTTAAAACGCGCCAACTGAA